TAAGGAATTTAATGAAATGGACCAAAGGTAACATTTTTCCATTAGTCAGGCAGCTCAATTACATTTCATCCTAACTATATTTTATGTGGGTTGCGGGTGCATTTTGACTTGTTTGATGTGAAATGAAGGGGAGTGAACGGTTGGACCAAATCATAACACTAACTACAGGTGACCCTGAACAATGTGGGTTTAAGCTGCACAGGTCCACTTATACACACTATTTTCCACCCAGTAAATATACAGTGAGTCCTTTGTATCCCTGGGTTTTGAATTTGCAGATTTAACCAAACTCAGATCAAAACAGTATTTTAGATCCAAGGATGCGGAGGGCTGACTTGATGTTCTCCTGTACCACTTTATACAAGGGACTGAAGCCTCCCAGGATTTTGGTATTGGGGGAGAGGGGCTCCTGGAACCAATCCCCCCCCCCATCGAAACTGAGCGATGACTGTAGTTAAGCTTTGGGGATTTCTGTGTGGAGTTGGTACCCCCACCCCCTGCATTGTTCAAGGTCAACTGTAATTCTTTCAAGGATACATACCATTTTTGGCTGGGTTCTGACCCTTTCTACCCCAAGGGTGTGGCCTCCTTTGACCTTATCAAGCTGATTAAATCTGCATTAATTAGGTGTGAAAGGATTAGCCAAAGACTAGTGAAAGGATATATACTAAGATGATTTCACACTTTCTTGCCCAGTTTTTTTTTCATTAGGTGTAATTTCCCCCCTTTTGTTCTCATATTTTTCAAGAAAAGTCACCATTCTGAAGAGCACCCATGGACAAGAAAATTTTGGTGTTTTACCAAAGAAGACAAAAGTGGGAAAAATTTGTTACATATTGTTTTAAAAAAGAGACAATAGCCCTGGCCCCTGTGGCCCAGTGGTTAGAGCATCGGCCCTCAAACCAAAGGGAGGCAACCAATTGATGCGTCTCTCACATCAATGTCTCTGTCTCTCTCCCCCTCCTCCTCCCTCCCTCCCTTCCACTTTCTCTAAAAATATTCTGGGGTGAGGATTACCAAAAAGAAAGAGACAATAGGCCCAAAATGGAGTTACTTCTGGTGGGCCCCACGTCAGCAAACCGAGATTTAATACTTAACCTAATTGCAGTTGCAGCTTCCTAGTAATGTAACCTTTAGCCCGTCAACATGGTCAGAGCTGGTGAGATAACCTGATCGATAGGCCCTTTCTGTTCCCCTTAGGAGGGCAACCACAGCCAGTGGAGTGCCTTTCTATTTGCTAGATGGGATGCTGCCTGATTCATGAATCTTTCAATAAAGCCACTTAGATCTTTAAAACTTATTCAGTTTAATTTCAACAATATGAAAAGCACTGATGTTGATGATGTGGCTGACACACACACACACACACACACACAATGTAGTTATTCAACACCTATTTATTGAGTGCCTACTATGTTTAGACAGTGTTCTGGGGGCTGGTGATACAACATAAACAAAAGAAACAAATCCCTGTTCTGAGGTGCGAGAGAGACAGAAAATTAAAAGGCAAGTACATACCACGTCAACTAGTGATGAGTACTTGGTAAAAATAAAAGGGGAAGGGATAGAGAATGGTGGTGTCCTATTTATTGATTTACCTAACTATTTTTTTCCAACACCATTTATCCCTCATATCCTCTTGCACCTCCGCCCACTCCCCTTCCCCACTGCAGTTACCACACTGTTGTCTGTGTCCATGAGTTTTCTTTTCTTTTTTGCTCAATTCCTTCACCTCCTCAAC